TAGACACTCTTACACGCGAACGGTGCATCACGTCTGGATCTCGCGACTGCACTGTAAGGTTGTGGAAGATTGTAGAAGAGAGTCAGTTGATCTTCCGTGGCGGTGGGGGCGGGTTCGAGGACGATCTTGTGGTCATGGACGGGTTGAAGAAGAAGGACAAGAAGGGGGATGAGAGTGGAGGGAGTTTGGATGTTGTGGCTATGATTGATGAGGAGACGTTTGTTAGTGGTGGAGATGCAGGGTGAGTTTTTTGTGCAACTTTGATTATGGCGAGCTTGACGGACATTCTCTTACTGACTTTGACTATCGTGCAGAGCAATATCTTTATGGTCCGTCAACCGCAAAAAGCCTCTCTTCACCAAGCTCAACGCTCACGGGCCCAGAGGACCCTTCCCTGCCCATCATACTTCTAACCCCGACGCTCCACCAACATCGACACAAGAGCAGAGCTGGATAACATCTCTAGCGACGGTGCGCTACACGGATATGTTTGCGTCAGGGGCTGGGGATGGGTATATCCGAGTGTGGAAGTTGAACGAAGCAAAGCGGGCATTCTCGATGTTGAATGTTATTCCGATGGTGAGGATTTATGATGCAATTGGAGGTTTTGTAGGATGTGCAATTGACCGATCGACAAATATTACAGTCTGGATTCGTCAACTCCCTCCACTTCTTCGAAGCCCCTCCTCTACCTTCAGATTCCGATACCGACTCTTCCCTCATCCCTTCCACATCATCAGGCGACTCCTCATCAACAATACCCGCATCATCAGCTCTCACCTCTCGCGCGCACGAAATCCTTGCTCGCGCCAAAAAAACCCCAACGACTGCCGACGTGCTCTATCTTGCTGTCGGTGTTGGGCAAGAACATCGTTTGGGACGATGGTGGAGAGATAAGAGTGCGAAGAATGGTGTGAGAGTCGTGAGGTTTGGGTAGATCTTTGCCCGCCGCGTGCCGATGTTGTAGTAACCCAAAAATTGTACATAATAAGATAATTTTGGAAGACTTGAGGAGAAAGTGCATTGTGATCTATTGCGTCTCCTGGAGAATATCTACACGTAAAAGTACAAATTCTACAACATGAACAATCCTTTTTGCTACTTCCCGTTTCTTTGCCCTTCCCGCTCAACATCCTCGCTCTCCACTCTTTTCCGCTTCGCTATCCGAGGAAGCTTGACACGGCGATATATGCTATCCAAACTTGCTGCCGCCGTCTCCGTCACCAAACTTTCGACCGTAGGATCGACCATGTTGGCAGTCCGTTTCCTCTTCTTCACAGTCACCTCGTTCTGCACCGCAACTGATGACTCCGTTTCCGTCACAATAGTATTCTCATCCGAAGCCGTGACCTTCGAAATGGACACTTTCACTTCCTTCTTGACGGTCGTAACTCTACTTTCAAATTGCTTCAAATCTGCCGTGAATAATACCTGCAGATTTGAGTCAGAAAGCTGGTCAGCGGTGCACACCGATGTCAGTATAACCTATGAAAGTCCCTCATAATGCCACTTACAGAATGAGCCCATCCCGCGTATTCACCAAAAATCTCCCGGAACCGATCCCCAATGGCTTTGTAATGTGCTGGTGTCAAGGTCTTACTGCTTGTAAGGGTTTTGAGGCCGTAGTCTCGTTTGGCGATCTGCAGGAAATATCGTAAAAATCATTACAGGCAGACCGCAAGATGCATGACTTCCTAGACCAACCTGCCAAACATGCGTATCAACCGGAATGGCACCTTTCTGATCCATAGCCATCAGACATATACAATCGGCGACCTTGGGTCCAACACCACTGAACTGCATCAACGCTTCCCGACAGTCTTCATACGTCTTATCCCTAAACGATGAAACCCAATCTTCCGCACTCTTTGCCTTCTCTTTTCCCGCGCTTTCCTGGATTAGGCGAGCCGTTTGGTAGATGTATTTTGCACGGTAACCGAAGCCTAGCTGGCGCAGTTTGGCTTCTACTGATGGGTCGGTTAGGGACGATATTGTGGGGAAGGTGTAAAATTTGAGGGGTGGTGAGGAGGAGGATGTGGGTGGAAGGGTGCCGATGTGAGTGCCGTATGTTGAGCAAATGGATGCGATCTTCAGATTGAGATTGTTAGGAGAAATGTTTGCCCTAAGAGTCCGCGCACTACACACACACCATGCCAGTTATCCGCGCAATGTTGTTGTTTGATGTGCAAATGAAGGTGAGTGTGGTTTCTGCGGGGTCTTGTCTGGATATACATAGTAAGCGTGAGTTTCTTGTTGTACAACATTGTCGAGTTTACAACCAACTCACCGCAATATCCGAATCCCCGACAAATTAGCGGCCTTCTTCTTGAAATTGACATCGTCACCCCAACTCTTATACAAATCAGCTAATCGAACGTCCAATTGGAAGTAGTCCCTCAATATGCTTCTCACGTCGTCCTCGTATTCTTTGCCATCGGGTACGTCGTAGGTTCTGAATTGCACGTCGTTCTCTGAAACTGGCATAAGGCGAGGAGCTTGAGGCTGATACCGTCGCTGGCACATACCCAACTGCTTCAATGTGACCAAGCGTTTCTGCAACGCGCTTGTCCACTCCTCGTCACCTGTCTGCACCCAGCGAAAGGACTGACCGCACTTCAGTGTTGTATCAAGTCGAAGTTCATTGGCAGGAACGGACAGTGAGTGCCAGGCTGTAGGGGTGGCGAAGGTCATTGTAGCAAAGTATCCGCGACGAAAGGAAGGACGGAGTGTTCGCCGGAGTGGCGAAGAGACGCTCCAGAAAGAACGGTGTATGGTCACTATTGGTTTCCTCAGGATGACGGTGTGAAGCCGAATAGGCAACAACCTACCTAAAAATAAGTTGATAAACAAATTGTTCAGGAAGCACTGTGAGGCTCCTTTTCAGACCAACTCATGGCGCCACGTGCACACGGTCGCAGACGGATTTCATGTTCGTTTGTTCGGACACTGAAGGCAAACGAAACCCACCCCATCTTGCTTCTCCCCAATCTTTCTCGTTCAACTTGATCGCTCGCACACAAACAGAATGACCGGACAACGACTTCAGAAACGCGGTGCTTTCATTGTATTTGAGGGCGGTGACCGCTCGGGGAAGTCGACCCAAAGCCAGCGACTGGTCGAAGAACTAAATGCTGCGGGCGTGCCTACTCAACTTCGACGATTTCCTGGTGGGTAAACAGCCCTACAGTTGTTACGCACTGCAGGCTGACTTGCTGCCTTTTAGACAGAACAACACCAAGTGGGCAATTGATAGACCAATATCTAAAGGGCAACAACGACTTGAACGACCATACGGTTCATCTATTATTTTCAGCAAATCGATGGGAAGCGATGTATGCCAGCCTCTTTCCTATTGCTTATGCAGATAACTCAACAAGTTTCGCAATCTCAAGAACAGAAATGAGGCAGACACTCGAGTCAGGCACAACTTTGGTCGTGGACCGCTACGCTTACTCTGGGGTTGCATATTCAGCAGCAAAGGTGTGCGTTCTATTGCCCTCGTTATTGTCAGTGTTCAACCGTATGTGCTGACACAGCAAGGTTATTTTCAGGGACTAGATCTCTCATGGTGTAAAGGACCGGATGTTGGCCTCTTGATTCCCGATCTCGTGATCTATTTGGACCTATCACCATCTGATGCGGCCTCACGAGGCGATTTTGGGACCGAACGATATGAGAAGGTCGAATTCCAGGAAAAAGTCCGGGCTATATTCCGCAATCTTGCCGATAAGCAGTGGAAGGTTCGTTTGATTGAAAATACCAGTTTTGTGTACAACGCTCTCCTCGAATTGTGCAGCGGTAGTCCGATCTGTCAATACTGAAAACGATGTCAATTTGCAGATAATTGACGCAAACAAATCCGTGGATGTGCTGCAGAATGAGACCCGCGAATTTGTTGACCAAGCCTTGGACAAAGTAGGGTCTGCACCACTATTGAATGGTCTATGGCAGCATCCGTGACGAAAACAGTCAATCGAGATGGGCATTTTTAGGTGTAGCGAACAGTAGAATGATAGGTAGAAATGGCGAACTTCACGAGAAGTTCAGTGTATATATCCAGCTTGGCAATGCACTAGTAAATGTAACCATATTAGTTTGTTTACTTCTTGTTGGCAAAATGATGTCATCATGTACGGATCGTCGAGGTCACGAGCCGTCGGCTGCACAAGCCATCAGAAAGCGCAGTCGTTCAGGGTTACAAAAGGGGTGCCGACCCCTCTGTATTCTCCTTTCCCCCTAATTTTCATCGGTGGCTATTCCTGAGACTTAAGTTCGTCGGATCTCGAGGTAAACCAAGTTGATACGCCAACGAGATTCAACAAGCTAACATGCTTCATCCATCCATCCAGTCTCACCCACTTCTCAAGACACAAAGTCCCATGACGCCGCCAAAATGGGCAGACAACCAGGGTTGGAAGCCCCACAAGCATGTTCGACATGCGAGGTGGGTATCTGAAAATGCTTTACTTCTCTTTCGTCACTCAAGCCTAACCTGTCATCCATCCATCCAGGGTTGTCTTTGGATACCATCGGCGTACACAAGATAGGCAGAGTCCCTAGCGGCACTTCGCGCCATGCAAGGTATGCACTTTGGTCTCATAAAGTGCTCAACATGCAAGATATTAACCTTCTGTTCACTTTACTATTAGGGTTCTTGACGCCGAGGCCCGCTTCTACCATGGGGTTGAGTCCCCCACTGGCTGGAAACCACGCAAGGTACGCGCATTTCGCTGCTAACAAGATTTGACGCGCTCTAACTTCAAGTATAGGCCAACATCGTCACGAGGCCTTGCTGGTTTCTCCCCACAGGTGTAACCTTTGCCTCCCCCTCAGCAGGTACCCCACAGAGTCCTTCGAGGCATTTAGGAACGCCACAAGAGCGATCAAGGGCCCAACTTGGAGTTTTTCTCCATGTCGAGTAACTCATTTGTGTAGCATCTGAGGGTTCCAAACTGCGGCAGCGGTTGCTGTCACAGCGAGGGTTTCAAGTGTTGTTCTCCACCTCTCGTAGCTCAATGTAGAGCGGCCACCTTTCGGGGTGGTAGATGCTGGTTCAAGTCCAGCCTGGGGGTGTTCTGTCCGCTGCGTCAATGTTGCTGTCGGTGAGCAAAGTATGTATGTCGTCCCGTCCGCCGCTCGCTTGGGTGTGTGGGGTATGGCAAACCAAGCAAGGGTCCGCCCTCTTGGCTGCCACTGGAGTAGAAGAGGTAAAGAGTTAAAACCAATGGAAATCATCAGTCTAACGGACTCCGGAATTTGTATGCGTCTCCTTGGCTTTGAGCTTTATTAACTTTATTGTGGGAAGATTGGGAAGATGGTGGTCAGAAACCCACATGCACGCGCGGGGCCATGCCGCCCTGTGGTAATTGGGTCTGGGCCAAAACTCAGCAAGGGCAGCTCCACCACACAATGTGGCGCTCGACAAAACCGTCCCAAGTTTCTCACCTACCATTTCAACGATCTTACGCGCGAAACGAAGCTCATTCGCTTACAGATTCACAAGATGCTACATTGGAGAGCAATAGTTACTATATCACGCGATAAAGTCAGCGCAACACGGTCCTCCCAGTTCGCCATTGAGACCCGCTTCCGTATAGAAGCGTCGCTGGTGACCGTGGAAAAAAACAAAGTCGTCACACTTGCCTCGTCAAGTCTGCCGGCGCGAGTTTTGCCAAATGGAAGATTACAGTTTGCTGGTTCTCATGGAGGGGAAACATGTGTTTTGCACGTGGAAGCAACTACTGAACGGTGGGTAAAGGCACCACTGTGTGGAAGCAATACCCACCAGTTGCTCAACCTCGACAGAGCCGACCGAGAATCATAGGGGTTGACGTATGCGTTTTTCCGGAAGGTTTGTTTTGCATTGATTGCATCGTAGACATCCATTCATACGTGCTTGACCTTCGAGTGGAAGCAGAACAATATAAGACCGGTGAGACTGGTCAGGAAAGCACAGATACGGTCGCAAAACTCTCCTACCGTTTTTGTGCGGTTAATTTCTTGGATTGGATCGTAAATTTACAACCCTTTCTAACTTCAAGAGACAGTTTGCCTTCGATTCTGATACGAAGGACACACAGCGGGAGCGGTTTATCTCAGGAACAGAATCACCTGACGATGCGGTATGTCTATCTCATATCGCCAATTTATAGAACCCCCATTGAAATGTTTTACAGGAAGAGGAAGAAGTGCATAGAAGTCCTTGGGATGATTTAACGATTTTATGCTCCCTTGCACGCAGTTCACACACCCCAATAATGATACCCCCGCCAGCACCGACATCTCCAGCATCCTCCTCCATCGCAAGTCAAGCACTTCCGCCCGCGGGATTTCCGAGAAAAGCGAAGCGGCCGAAGCTCACTCCTGAGTCAACTTCCGTTGCACCAATGAGCAGGTACGCCTTGTTCATGTAGACTCTGTGTTGTGGATGAGCCGCAAGTATTGAGAGACCAACTCATAACCCGTGACAGTAGCAGCAGTCGCGGCAGCACTCGCGGCAGCACTCGCGGCGGCACCAACAACCCCGCCGGAAGCAGCAGGAAGCAAAGTGCCGCCAAGCACAATGCGAGCAAGGGGGACCGCGACAAAGGAGCTTCCACGAAGGAAATTGCACCACGGCAATACATCAGTCAAATCACGTTTCTACCAAAAACCGACAGTGAAGATGAATACAATAGGTATGCTTGATATCTACTACATGCACATCAACCCGCATCTCTGTTCATTCGGTCTCCTTAGTGATAATTACATCGACAAAAAACCCATGGGGGACGAGTTCGACAGAGTATGTTTCCTCAGATGAATGACAGATTGGCACGAAGATGGAATGTGCACTCACTTGTGGTCAACAGGAGCTCAAACGGTGGAAGCTCATTCCAGAGTTTCACGAGGTCGCCTCTCGATGGAACAACCATGTACGAAAGGACAGGTGAGGGAACTACGACTTAAGCCCTCCCACAGTTATACAGACTGAAACTAAGAGTCAATGATTCAAGTTGCCCTCCTCCATATACCTGCATGGCTGCTTCTCTTCGACGTTTCATGGAAGCAGTAAGTGGGTCCTGCCCCATTCTAATAGTATACTTCTTCTCAAGATAAGCTCAACTCAATGCAGAACCGTGATCTGTCGGCAATGCAAACCGACATGTTGGTCTTCGTCATGCTGAAATTGGAGCTCATCAAAAGAGGAGAAGATAGGAGTTTACTGGAATTCTCTAAATCCACACGGAATGAGCTGCAAGATATTGCAGCGATGGATGTTTGGGAATTTTGAATTCAAGGGGTAAGAAAATCGCAATATGTAAGCAGCGGGGATCTATTTTGTACATATGTAGATGCATATATGAAACAGTGAATGTGGAACAGAGGAGACAGTGAAAGGATAAGGGAACATCTCGTAATGAACCTTGTTACGACGTCAAGGGTTTTCTGAACTTGCCCTGCAACCATACTCTGTACATCTTCAGCTTTCGAGACCGGTTGACGATCAGTCGTCGGTCCACTCCGTTCTGCTCAATGATGAAATCCTTGAACATCGAGCTGATTTCCTCTGCAATAACAAGCATCAGAACACTGTCAGTAGGAGTGAAGACATCGACGACACTTACCATTGGTGAAGAAATATACACGAGTTCCATCGCCTCGGATGTAAAAGTTATCCTCCAACATGCGGCCTCCCTTGAACCTTAGCTGGGCGAGATCGTAGCGCCCATAATCTGCGTGAATGGTCAAACGTTAATCTCAAGATCAGCTCATTTCCGGCGCAATGTCAACCCCACCTCTGAACAACACCATCCCTCCCGGCTTGAGCACCCTCCATATATTCCGGACAGCCCGTTCCCATGTGTTAGGATGTATGGCCGACAGTACAAAGATGCATATGCAGATATCAATCGACTCGGGCTCAACTTCCGCTGGTGGCTCTGGGGATGTGACGTCTAGACCGCTTGCACGTGAGCAAGTGCATTTGGTTCGACCCGTCGCGAACACCGTACTTACATACCAAAGACAAAGGCACGGCATTTGGATTCATTATACTCTGGGTTGCTCTAAGCATATGCGATGAGTCTTGAGTCGTCGCCTTTTTGATATGAAGTACGTGCTTACCTTTACTACACCGACAGCTGTTTTGGAGTAATCGCATGCGTATACAAAGACATTGGCATCCGCCGCCTCGCTAAGGAGCGGAAATACGGTGTTTCCTGCACCACAGCCGATTTCCATGACATTGAATCGCTCCTGCATCATGATTGTCAGCATTGAGCTCAACTTGAGAATGGCAGTCTTTGAGATTGTGTACGCACAGTCTTGTCTTTCGGCAGACTCTCGAAAAGCTCTGGGAACTCTAACCGAAGCCTATGTTCCGCAGTCAGCACGCAATCCGAGAATAAACTTCATGACCCCATTTGCACCATACCAATGCCGGTCTTTGAAGAACTTGTTCGCATTTCGTGAATAGAAATCATCCCAGAATAAGGGAGCATCCTGATCATATCGTTCTATTGTGATAAACCAGTCAGCTTGCGGCTCTCTCAAGAAGGGTGAAGGTATGTGAAAGAATGATATGAACCTCTATCCGCATCACCCACTTTCGCCGCAGCCTGCTTCGAGATGATCTCGAGAGCTTCCTGTTCTTGCTCTTCACCCCATTCTACGTTATCCCTATGACCAAAGGGTCAGCAACTTCTGCCAAGCTGGTGAAAGGTCTTTGAAGGTGAATAGGCTCACCAGGCGTTGTGCTCGAACACCTTGTCTTCGTCGTCCAAAACACGGGTGCCAAACGTTCCTTCCACACTTGAGGTGGTCTTCTTGTCGGGCTTCTTCGGAGGAGCCGGGACTTCTGCTGGTACTTTGTCCCCTTCAGATGTCATTGTGCTGTTTGTGGAGTTGGGCTAAAAGTAAACAAAAAGAAGTGGGTGGGGAGCAAGAATCTATTTTGTGAGCGTGTGTGACACGGTACGCTGCTGTGCCTCCAATGCTGCGGTCAGCCAAATCCTGCCAAGGGTCCAAGCCGGTAGATAAAGCTGGAAAAGACGTGCAACGGGAAGAAGAACCACGTGTTGTGCAATTTGCTCATGAGCGATAAGGTTTTCTTGGTGGTCGGATGGTGATGAAGGAAGTTGAAATCGCAGGTCGGAGGTGGTCAAAGGAGATTTTCGAAGTTCCACGATACCAGCCATTCTCCCTTGTGTTTACACGGACGCGTTTGGTGGGTGGGGGTGGGAATGCGAAAGTGGTTGTGCACACCCAACGGTCATAGAAAATGTAAATCGTTTACCAGATAAGCACATGTTCGAATCCCCGAATGTCTCATCCCTAACACTGCCGCACCTGTTTTATGTAAAGATGATCGGTCACACGGTATGAAGGCAACGTAAACACACCAGGGAAAACCCTCCGGCGGAGCTGATTGATGTTTTGAGTTTGCACGTGGGATGTATCCGAAACCTAGAAAGTCTCAAAACACGGCAGGTATATAAGGCGCAACATTCCGCTGCCTGAACGCATTCGTTAGAGCGGTCACATATCACGACAGACTCCAAGCCCATCAAGAACAAATATGCGCCTCCCTCTTGTACTTCTTACGGCGTTGTTGGGCTTGGCATCAGCTCTGCCGCAACCAGCTACTCCAGTTGCATCAACGATCATCGCACCCTCCACCACATCCCTCGCCGCAACAGAGACTCTTTCGTCTCCGTTGGGTCTCACTCCAGCGCCGAGGTTCTGCCCCCAAAACAGTGAATGGACATCCTGCGGGACAGCTTGTCCTCTCACGTGTAAGCCACCTTTTCCTTCCTGTCCTCGGACACCTACATATGAACTCTTTCCTGAGGACATCCTACATTAAAGGCGACAACTACTCCAACCCACCCCAATTTTGCACCCTCCAATGCGTCGTGGGCTGCCAATGCAAGAAGGGCTATGTCAAAAACAGCAACGGCGCCTGCGTGCTCCCCAAACAATGCAGCACGAAATCCATTTGCCCTGCCAACTCGAAGTACAGCGATTGTGGTTCGGCATGCCCTCTCACATGGTGAGTTGAACAAAGTTCCGTAATTAAATTGATCATGGGC